TGCAGTTAAGTGGGTAAAATAAATTTGGAAAATACTTTCTTAACAATGTTTTCCACTCTGAAAGGAAAGCCTTGGTTACTTTGCTATTGCAATTTTTTGCAATCGAACGCTGAGCAAATGTTATGAGATTGAAAAAGCAAAACCATTGACAAAGCCTAAGCTATAAAAATGATGCATGGGACATGAAGGGATGGTATACAATCTACATGAAGTCACAATTACTTACAACCATTCGACGTAAAATCTGATAGCTCGGATGTGTCACAAAGTTAAAAAAATAATAATTGAATTTTGAACCTAGTCATCTAATAGTCAAGATTAATTGTGACCACCTTGTACAAAAGGAAAATGGTCACTCATTATATACTCGCCCATTAAATTATAATGTTCCCAACCTCAAACTTTTGGAGATGGGTGAGAGACCCAAGAAAGTTCATGGGAGTTTCCAACTCTCTAAAATTAACTCATAAAGAAGAAAACGATTTGGAGCCCCAAAAGTACTTCTAAATCAATTTGCACTGCCAAACTCAATTTGCAGTTGCTCCATGGGATTAGTAGCTTTTTAGGAGATCTCTTTAATCAAATCTTACATGGAGAATCATTTCGAAAATGTTTTCTAATTCAAAAGATGCTCCAAATTTATTTCAAATCCTTAATCAAATCAAGGGCGTCCATGTTGAATAAATGGTGAATATAAGGACTTTGGAGGCTTGGGAGTATAGATTAAATTTTGTTTAGAGATAATGATGTCAGGTGATAGGAGCTATTCTATGTCTCTCACCCCCCTCATTAGTGGTTTTTGAGGTGTTGAACAGTATAGTCTAATGTTCCTATAGATAAAGAAATTTCTCGCAAAAATCAAAAGGGATTGTGTATTATAAGACCATTTATCTTTGGTAAAAGGAGGTCACAACCACTTATAACTGTTAGATATGAATCTAACAACATAATTTTTGTCATAAAGTTCAAAAGATTTTCTTTTAGACTTTGATACAATCAATGAGACATCTCCAACCACCCAACTTCATTTCCAATAACTAAAATTGATTGATATCTCATTGTACGAGGTTTTGTTGTTCACTTCCAAATTAGAAAGGATGTCATTTTGTGAGGTAAAAGTAAACCATATTCCACCATGTTGGTATGCCCTACATTATTACGGCATCCACCTCCCTTTATGGACAACCAAAGTTGGAGATCACGATAATAGTTGCCAATGACACATGGTTAATTTATACAATCTTTCATTAGGACCATGTTTGTGAAGGCATGGCTATATAACATACTATTTAGCTGTGCTCAATATTTTCAAACATGGATCGGTGGATTGCCCACCCATAAGCTCCAATCCAAATCGAATCGACAATCTAGATTGGGTGAATCACCAATCCGGTAAAAAAACAAAAAAAAGAATAAGGAGAATAATCATGTGTATAAGAGTCTTTACACCATTTCTTTTAAAAAATACCATTTGACTGCCCTTTTCTCTCTCTCCAACACCAACCTTAGATGCAAAATATTCTCTTCCATCATCGTCAACCATCTTTAACCTCTTAAATCGTATCCAAACCTTCTCTGTCTATTTCTATCGCTCTATCGCTCTGCAGCAAGGATATAAGATTTTTTCTATAGGGGTCGTTAGGTATTTTATCATAAGTTTTTTCTAGATCAATAAAGACCATGCGGATGTCTTTTTTTTTTCGTCTTAAACTTCTCATTAGTTGCCTAAACAGAAAAATAGCCTCAGTTGTTGACCTCTCCTATATAAAATAGAATTGGTTTTTTAATAAATAACCAATCATTTAAGCGAGAAAGGAAAAACATCAATAAATACAAATCAACCAACCAATTTTAGGTGCATATTTGTGTGTTGATACTTTTCATCATCATATATCTATAAAAATGTAAAAAATAGTTAAATCATAATAGGTTGATCAAAACATTCATAAATATTTTAGGGACTTTTGGTCATGTTTATGTTTCGTAAATTGTAACTTTCCATATATTTTTTAGGTGCATAATAATGAGAATTGTGAAGTATAGATATCCAAAATATGAGCTTATTCTTGTTTATAGAAAAGGAGTTAAAACTGAAATGGTGAATACATGATCTAGAAAAGTAGGAGCTAAGCGTAAAATATAAAATACCGAGAACAAAAAATGTGAAGTAGTGAGTACACTATTTAACTTCCTTAAACTATAAGGGATATTTATGTAAAAGGTATAATTTGTGTGAGGCGGTAATCTTGGTTTCAATGCTTTATTGTCCATTTTAGTTAAACGATGTAGATTGACCGATTTTTTAATAGGGTAAAAAAAATCATATGTTTTTAAGATAATTTCCATATCTACACAGTCGATATAATATAGACGTTATAGTTTATTTATTTTTTGAACAAGAAGACGTTATAGTTGAGGGAAAAGTTTACATAGAGCCGAGGCTCTAGATAATCAAATTTGAGCCTATCATAAAAATCTCACTAGAAAAGGTTGTTTTGATGCCCAAATATCCTCAAATCGATCATCTCGACATCAAGATACATGGACATAAGAAAAAAATGGATTTCGAGTTTTGGAAATAATATATCTTGTAATACATATTTGAACAGTCAATTTTCAATATTTTCAAAATTTCATAGATATGTCGATCTACACTATTTTTTAAACTTTAAACTTTATAAATAAAAATAAAAACATATTTTAAGGCTATAACAATGATTTTCAGAATTGAAACCATATATTCTCGAGACTATTTGAAGGTAAGCTCTATACAAACCGCACCCCATAGTTTATTACAACCTTACTTTTATAAATAAGCATGCAACCTTATATGAATTATTTCCTCAATGTTAAATTTCCCCCCAAAGAAAAACAGAAGTTTTAACGATGGCACGAGGAGAAAAGTGAAGGTCGTTGTGGGCTGCATGACGCTATGATTTAGAAGTATTTAGGTAAGTTAAGATAAAGCTGGACATCGAGAGACGCTTTGGCCGAGTGGTTAAGGCGTGTGCCTGCTAAGTACATGGGGTTTCCCCGCGAGAGTTCGAATCTCTCAGGCGTCGCTCCCACGCTCTCTCTGTGTTTATTTATATTGTGCCGGGGCTTTAAACGATCAAATTTTAGAGCCCCCCCCACCTCAAAATATTTTTTAGTAACTATATAAAAATGTGTAATATATTCAGTAGCTCTTTTGTTGACTATATAAAAATGTGTAATATATTAAGTAGCTCTTTTGTTGGAGGACTTAATAAGGTCCTCCTCTTTGGTAGCCCTTCCATTCGAGGAGTAAAAGTGCGTTATTCTCCCCGTAGAGTTCGATGTTGGACTACTCGGTCTATGTCTCGAGTACTTGGCCCGAGTTTCTCTTATTGGATGTTTTTGAGATATTTAATAAATGTATTTATTTTTACGTTTTTTTAGCATTTTGTAAAAGAATGAAAAATGTTTTCGCTATAAATACTTATTTTTATATGTCTTATCTTTTTAAATTATTTCAAAAATACCCTTAGTCACAGGTTAATTTTTAAAAATTTACTTTTTTCTCTATTTTTTTTTTTTATCATTTTGATGTTTATTGTTTTGTCTTATGTTAAACGTATATTTATTTTGTTTGAATTATTTATATTAGGGTCCGGTTTCTATAAGGTTGCAACCTTAAACCATCCAATTAAGGTGCACCTCCAAATGTTTTTGTAACATGTAATTTTGGTGTAAAAACTTATTAGGATTATTTCAAAATCTATTTTTATTATTAGGATTATCTCAAAATTATATTTAATTATAAAATTTTAAATTTAAAAATGGTCAAAAATCAAGTAGATCTATAAATATATGAAAATCTTGAAAATTGACGGTCTAGATAATGTGTTGCAAGATGCACTATTTATGAGACTCAAAATCGTTTTTTTTTCATATTCATATATCTCGATGTCGAGATTATCAGTTAGAGGGTTTTCAACATTAAAACAATATCCTTCGATAGATTTTTTATGTCCATATGTATTTCTACATTTTAATATTGCAACTTTTTTATAAATTTTTTTATATATATATATATATATATATATATATATATATATATATATAGTATCTGTAGTACTCCTCCCTACCTATATTTAGTACGTAACCTACTAGTAGGTATTATACTAATTTAAATTTGAACTAAGTTAGAATCTAACTAAAAACTAA